CCACCAATGAAGACTTTAAAATCTTGTTATATACCATAGACTAACCTCCACGTGGTGCACCCTGGGCAACGTATATTCATACGGCAAAAAAGTCTATTAACCCGCAGTTGACTTCTCACTTCAAACTGTCACGACCTCACTCTATGTCATATTCGACCCCTATCACAGTGTTCATCTTACCTTTTTCTCTACCTTTGTGTCTGTTTGCCTCTTTTACATCTGTGAATCACTCTTCTGTTCCCCACCCCTCGCCTTTCTTCTACTTCGATATTCCTTCCCCCTATGAAGCCCGAAGTCAGCGAAAATGGCTAATGATAGTTATCAAAACGCCTGCCATTTGAAATAAATAAATATACCATATGCTGTCGTCTATGGGCAAACAGAGTGATATATTCCCCAATAGTTGACGATTCCATCTCCAGCTGGGCTATAACGCCTTCCAACTTGGATTTCTCCTCATCACTCGCAGAGAGCCGGTCAACAATTTGTTTGAATCTCTCCTCCAACTGAACATAATCAGCTTTCGATTGAGTTAGATCACTTCGAAGTTGATGCAAGAGTTCTTCGGACTTAACAAGACTGAATTCTGTTTGACAGACCGCAGATACTTCCACATCCTTAAATTGAACATTTGCTATAGCTTCGGAATCCCGTTTCTAAAATAATAAAATTCTTATGAATAATAGAACCAATACTACTGAAAAGCGATTTATAAGTAGAACTTGCGTTTTGAGATTGAGCGGATTTCTCCAAGGTGGCTATGATATGCTCCTGTCGTTCAATATTGCAGCGAAGTTTTGTTACCTCCAGTTCAAGTTGCTTAACACGTTCAGACTCTTGTTCGTGGCCCTAATGAAGCAGGAAATCAGATTAGTCTTACTTTTACGCAAATAAGAATACCCTCTTTAAGCATTCAGTTTCACTAGTTCAATTAGTATGAGCGTATAAGTGTAAAACGTTACTTAGCCTATAAGAAGTACAAATTACGAAACATTGCAATATATGTATGACTATGCAATACTACGGTATGAATACCCAGATAACTTAAAACGATTTAAGAAAGAATAAATCGAATTGTGGGACAAGAACGATAGGACAAGGAGCGGAAATGCAGTGGAATCTTACCAAATTGCCATAAATGAATTTAACATAACACAATCAAAATGTCATAGCATTCAGCTCTAACAAACGATAACGAGAGAACTAGAGATCCAAAATTTCTAAATGGACACCGTCAAATAGCCCCCCCCCCCTCCACTTCTAAAGCCACTGTAGAACAGCGATGGAAATCGAGGAGAAGAGAGAACGGAGAACTAGACGTTCGCACTGAGCGTGTGAACAATTCAGACAAATTATCCGACCTGGGACAAGGTAGGGGGAGGTATAAATCGAAGATCAATAAAACTAGGTAGATAAACTATGATCGGAGCGCACAAAAAGAGCCAAAGTTAATAGAAGAATGGAAATTTAGAGGGCAATTTCAAACTTACGGATGATTGCTGAAGGTTTTGTACCTGTGATTCAAGCTCGGATATCTATAAAAGAGAGGAATGTGATAAGTTGGCGAACGAGTAAAAACAAAGTCCCTTCGTGGGTTTAGAACTCACTTTCGATTTAGCTTCTTCAAGCTGAGGCATCTTTTCGGCGACAACGGGGGTTTGAGATGATTCCAGGAGAGCAATTTGCTCGGCCTGATTGTTTGAAAAAGTTGTGATTTCAGCTAACTTCTTATTCAGTTCTGCTGTTGTGAGATCCTAATTTTTTGCACAAAAAAATCATTTATAAGCTGGAAACTATTTAAATACCAAAATTAATGTGGGGAAATTTCACAAACAAGCTTGATCATTCGGGGAAGACCCACATCATCAAACTGTTTTATTTCAAATTCGAATAGATTTTAATTCACTCCGACTCCAACTTCGAGACATTTCAAATCTACCACTTACAAGCTACTATCGACACTATCAACTTAAAGAATCATTTTGTTTTTGCCTACCGGTCAATGGTCGGATTCAAATGAGGTTGTCTATAATTCATTCGTGGGGTGTGCGACAGACTTACCTCCACGTGGTGCACCATGGGCAACGTATACTCGTACGGCAAAAGTCTATAAACCGGCAGTTGACTTCTCACTTCAAACTACCATGACCCGATTGTATGTCATATTCGACCACTTCCGCAGTACTCACCTCTCTTTTGCCTCTGCCTTTGTGTCTGTCTCTTTTACATCTGTGAATCCCTCTCGAATTTATCTCACTTTGATGTTCCTTCCCTTCTGTGAAGCCCGAAGTCAACTAAAGGACTAATGATACCTGTCAAAACGCCTGCCATTTGATATAAATAAATAATTCATTCGTACCCACATATTCCTACCACCAGTCACTCAGATGCCAAATGCACACCAATGAAACTATGTCAGCAATTTTAGACTCTTAACTCCGTAGCCCCTTTCCTCACCTCACTAACAATCTCCACCAGTGGTCCATAAAAGCCTTAATCAAAGTCTTTCACACTGTCTCATCACTACTTTAGGTAACTTTTGATTCGATGTTCTAAAATTGCAAAAAATTTCAGCAAATACAACATTAGTGAATGACTCATGCTTAGGAGAGAGTAGACATAACAAACTAAATAGAAACCCTTTTCAACCAAACGCGTCTTGAAAGCTGCAAGAATTAACCCCTCTAGAAGCATCTTTTAGAGC